AAATCTTCTCTTGTATTTTATTCAGAGCCCTCGTTGGCACGAAATCCGAAGCTGTAGCAGCTTTTCGCTGAATTTATTCAGTTAAGTTATGACTCAGAGCAAAAGTTGTGTTGAAGTAAAAGCGGTGAAGAGTTTTCTCCCGTAGTTCGCATTTCCCATTCATTTCCACTCAACCAAGCTTTCCATTCATTCGATATGTTTTAACTAGTACTAAACAAAGAGGAAACAACATTATCATCGGGTACCCCTAATAGTCGTTGTAAAATTCCATAGACTTCAGTTATACATAGAAGTTAGTTCAGTAGGTGGCGCCCAGCAGAGGTGTAGCTCGAAGTTCACCACTATCTTGTTCAGCCAATTGCGATTTCGCTTCTTTAGCAACCAATGTCCTTTTGTTACTGGTTCGGTACGATGAACATGAGAGGTAAACAACTTTGTAAACAACCAGTAGAAGAGAAATCGAAAAGCCTATTTGAGATTCTGCTTGTCCCTCCCCATCCAAAACTCCTGAATCGTAAACTTTCAGAGTCCGAGGATTTCAGACCTCAGTGGGGCATCGAGGGTTGCAAGGAAAAGGTTAAACATTTCACTGAAACATATTTCATACAAACTGTAAGTTTATGGGCCAATGTCTATAAGTTTAATGGGCCAATGTGACGCAGAGGAAAGTGGGACCAGTGGGCATGGCCTGAGTGTGAAATTTGGATCGGCTTCCTCCTAGGGCAATCATGCCGGCTATCCCTTGGTAAGCTGGTATCAGAACTGTTTGGAAGGGTAAAATTGCTGACTGTACGGTTGGTCTCATAAGGCATTATATCGGCGAACACGCATTCAAAATGCCAACCCATGTCTTCCAGCTGGGAGAAATTTTCGGAAAATACGATCCCCCTCGCTGGGGGTTCCTCAACGTGGGACGTGCCACTTCTATTCAGAGTCAAAATGGAAGCTACCTTAGTCCAAAGAGGGATTCATTAACGACAACGGCTCTTCCATTTTACAATTTAACAATAATTCGAACTAATGCGAAATAATCAAACTGACCTTATAAATAACAAGTACTGTGAGCATGTTACCAATCAAACCAATAAATCCAACAAGTACAAAAAGAAACGATAACAGCAGTTTAACTGAGTATGGGATAGTGTTTTCACTGAAATGAAGAACTTCTTCTAAAACACCAGATCAGTTTGCAAAACACATGTTTTCTACCAATATTTTTTTTGTCGAAGTATGGCCAAGAAGCGATCGTAAGTTTTCCAACAACTGCCAATGCTTTCAATGTTTGATCTACTGGTTCAATCAATACAGCGAATGTTCCGCCCACTCTGGGGTCATTTCTACTAGAGCACGCTCCAGACACGTTCAGCGATTATATGAGACCTTTAGGGCTTGTTGAAGCCGTGCACTGCTGGGTATGTACTGCATTCCTATGAAACCCCTTCGAAAAAGTCAGTTGACCTGATCTAATCAGGACAAGAGATCGCTACTTATATAATTTTTGTCAGCTGTGGAGGTTAACAATACTTAATCGCCTTATCCCTTACTAATACTCGCTTCACATTGTGCTGCACTCAACCTTCCGATCTATCGTTCCTGTACTTCTTGAGTCCATGAGTTTGAGACTCAGGTCTCACGCTCCCCGTTGATAGTTCTAGAATGATGACGTACTTCTCTCAGACAAACACACTCATTACAGATGGGTGGGGAGCTTTCTAGCCTACGCTAAGCATACAAAATATGGCAGAATAGGAATAGCTCAAGGTTCCTTCACTCCCGGGATCGTATGCTTGAAGTATAGAGACGAGTAATTGATTCAGAGTACAGTCAGGATGACTTATCTAGGGTTGACTGTGAGCCGTAAGATAATCAGCGTAGGAACCGGTATGGACTTCTAGGAGGATAAAGTTCCTCATTCACTGGCACACGAATTGAGCACTTGCATACGAACTATAGTTCCTCGGGAAGCATTATCACAAAAGCTGATGTTAAGAATTACAGCAGAGTAATAACATTCATTATGGTTGCTTTACTGTTGTGGATCATAGCCTTCAAAGGCTTATAATTGTTGCTGCTGAAAGTCTATGTATAGGCAGAACGCTGGCATTGCTATTGATCTCGTAGCGTAATATAACATACCTTAATTGTGTAGATGGCACTGTATTATTTGAATTATAAATAAATAGGGTGAGATTGGCGAAATCTGCCACTTGATCCAAGTGACAATACCGTTTCAGGACCTCCACTGGCAGATTCAGTACTGACTTCTGAAAAAACAGAGGGCAGTCAAACTTTTCCTGTCTCCGTAGATCATTTGATTCCGGGACTTCAAGCGATTAGCAAGTTGTTAACAACAGATATAATTACTTATGGAGAAAATGCTCGTAACTTAAAGGCAGTTGGCACGATAAATCCCCAAGTAGGATTAATACGCCTGGCAGGACGGAATTCCGCGACCCTGAGCAGGCGCTGCATAATGCCTTTTCCAAGGAAGGTGCCCTTATAAGGGCCCTATCAAGCCACAACATTCCGACCCAAACGCCCGCCACGCCCGCCCGCCCACAAATGGACGACCGTTCCTGACGCTCTAATCGATTCATTTGCTAAGCAAATTATGAAGCGAAGGGATTGGTATGAAGCGGCCGTGATGCTGCATGCATATATGGGTACACATATGCAGCCGTACCTTCGGTAGCGGTGATTGGCAAGATGCCTACAGGAAACTCGTCCAAAATTGATTTCTAACACATTGAGAACGGAGGCTCTTTCTTCGCAGGATTTTGACCGTTTCACTCCGTTCTTTCGCCATTTCCCCACTATATAGCGCCCTACTAGCATTTTAGGCCGAGCACCAAATCATCGTGCCAACTGCCTTAAAGATCGAGTGTTGACACTCAGGCCAGTTTAATTACAATGACGATAATTGATATCCGATCATAAATGTGAAAATCCTTGCCAGGGCACGCCACGTGCCGGGGATAACAACGAGGGAAAGGGGGGGGGGGTTCTATGGGTTGTATTTGCCCTGGGAAGGGCGTTTTCGGTTCATAGCGTGAGATATATACCCCTTCCTCACGAAATTAGAGTGAGCTGTATACCCCTTCCCCAGAGTTAGAAAAATTCAGGGAGATGATGGTAGGGGGGGGTCCTATTTTGCTAAATTTCTCCCCAACCGCAGGACGTGCCCTGCTCCTTATATTACCCATGAGGTATATCTCACCAATTCCGCAATATACGATGGACAGCTGTCTACGTGAAAACCACATTAACGGACAGCGACGACTCCCGAGCAATTATAATATATTTATTCGCCTTTCCAACGATTCCCCGATGGCTCGGTTGTTCGACCTTACTGGGAGGGGGGAGGGACGGGAGTCATTAAGCACCTGGTTGATGACTCCCGTCCCCTCCCTCCCAGTAAGTCCGAACATAAAGCCTTATTTAGCACCTGCTATAAAGGTTTATACGCATTTTGTGGCCACAGCAAGAGTTCACTGAATGTCAATGTGAATGTCATCGCTAGATTATGTAGGTTGT